TGGATCCCTAAAGCTAACTAGTGTTTCTCCGTTTAGAAGCTCCAAAACAGACAACTCATACGACTTCGGCCACACCCAAAAAACTTTGAGAGGCATTAAGAAGCTTTGCTAGTGTTTTTGGTGTCAAATATGACTAGATCTCATGTGTATGATTGGGTATAAGAACTAGAACCGCAACCGGATCCCAAAAGCTAAAGAAGTGTCACTCCGTTTAGAAGCTCCAAAACCAAAAACTCATAGGACTTCGGCCACACCCAAAAAGCTTTGAGAGGCAATAAGAAGCTTTGTTAGTGTTTTTGGAGTCAAATATGACTAGATCTCATGTGTATGATTGGGTATAAGAACTAGAACCGCAACCGGATCCCAAAAGCTAAAGAAGTGTCACTTCGTTTAGAAGCTCCAAAACTAAAAACTCATAGGAGTTCGGCCACGCCCAAAAAGCTTTGAGAGGCATTAAGAATCTTTGTTAGTGTTTTTGGAGTCAAATATGACTAGATCTCGTGTGTATGATTGAATATAAGAACTAGAACCGCAACTAGATCCCAAAAGCTAAACTAGTGTTTCTCCGTTTAGAAGCTCCAAAATAGACAACTCATAGGACTTCGGCCACACCCAAAAAGCTTTTAGAGGCATTAAGAAGCTTTGTTAGTGTTTTTGGAGTCAAATATGACTAGATCTCATGTGTATGATTGGGTATAAGAACTAGAACCGCAACCGGATCCCAAAAGCTAAAGAAGTGTCACTCCGTTTAGAAGCTCCAAAACTAAAAACTCATAGGAGTTGGGCCATACCCAAAAAGCTTTGAGAGGCATTTAGAATCTTTGTTAGTGTTTTTGGAGTCAAATATGATTAGATCTCGTGAGTATGATTGAATATAAGAACTAGAACCGCAACTAGATCCCAAAAGCTAAACTAGTGTTTCTCCGTTTAGAAGCTCCAAAACCAAAATCTCATAGGACTTCGGCCACACCCAAAAAGCTTTGAGAGGCATTAAGAAGCTCTGTTTGTGTTTTTGGAGTCAAATATGACTTGATCTCTTGTGTATGATTGAATATAAGAACTAGAACCGCAACCAGATCCCAAAAGCTAAACTAGTGTTTCTCCGTTTAGAAGCTCCTAAACCAAAATCTCATAGGACTTCGGCCACACCCAAAAAGTTTTGAGAGGCATTAAGAAGCTTTGTTAGTGTTTTTAGAGTCAAATATGACAAGATTGTAAGAATGTGGAGATTAGGTTGCGAGAATGGGACTGAGAATAAGCGGAAATGGAGATTAGAGAGATTAGAGAGAAAGAGATTTGAAGATGAGAAAGAGAGAGATTATCTCTTCTTACTTGATTTGGTAATTACATAGGTTCCCTTTTAAAGGGGATACAAAAGGAATATCCAAGAAGGATATCCTATTTACAACGGTCATGAAGACCTAAAAGGAGAAAGAAAACGCGTCTAAGATAAGGCAACACGTCATAGAGTAAAGCATAAAGCAACTCTTGTCTTCTTCCTCTTTTGAACTTGCAACGGCTACAAGGAAGACTCGGGAAAGGGTCTGGA